GTGTTTGAATATATATACTAAATAAATATTATATAATTAATAAGTCAAGTATAAGAAACAAAAATTCAGGGTGAAAATAAGTTTAAAAATACATGTTTTTGAATTTTTTCGAGGTTGCCAATCATAAACTAACAAAAGGGGGTCACTTATAAATTTTCAGGAATTTTTTAAAAATTATGGTTAGGTTGGGACATCTCGAAAAATATATTTTCAAATACCTTTTGATACGTTTTGTATGCCCAAATTTTTTAAATAAAATTGTATCTGATAGGTTTCGTGACAAAAATAAAATATGAAAATACTTCATAAGGCAATATCTCCGAAAAGGGGTGGTGTACGGAATTAAAAATTTCTTCAAATTTTTTTTGGGTCAACGAACTTTTTGGTGACAAGCTGGTCATAATCCGTTTGGGGGCCGATTGACCCCTTCTTAACCTGCTAGAGCCTTTGTGAATATTTCGATAAATAATCAACCAATTAAACTGCAACTTGATACGGGATCAGATATTACCATTATATTAGAAAAGATTTGGTCTTTGTTGGGAAAGCCTACAGGTTGTTCAACGTCTCATGTCGCACGTGACGCGTCGGGAAATCAGATCAATTTCAATCAAGAAATTTATTGTGAAGTAACCTTAAACGGAGTTATCAAACAACTACGATGTTTCGTAACAGTAAATTTGGATCTCAACATCATGGGTCTCGATTGGATCGCAGCTTTCGATTTATGGCAATGCAGTCTCAATAGCTTCTGTTCCAAGATCCATTCTCAAGCAGATTCGACGCACTTTGATATATCCTTCATTAAAGAAAATTTTAATTTCTTTTCCTCTCAATTAGGTCGCTGCATGAAAACTAAAGTCAAACTGAATTTAAAAAATAATTCAAAACCTATTTTCAGACCTAAGAGACCGGTTGCTTACGCAATTTTACCTTTAGTCGACGCAGAGCTTACAAGACTGGAACAAAATGGAATCATTTCACCAATCAAGTATTCAGACTGGGCAACTCCAATAGTTGTAGTAAGAAAAAAAAATGGAAAGATTAGGATCTGTCCGGATTTCTCAACTGGACTTAACGAATCATTGGAACCTAATCGTTATCCACTTCCATTACCAGATGAAATATTTTCGCAACTGTCAAACTGTAAGTATTTCAGCCAGCTAGATTTGTCAGACGCATTTCTTCAAATTGAAATAGAGGAGCAATCAAGGCATCTTCTAACAATCAATACTCACAGAGGTTTATACGTTTATAATCGTTTACCTTTCGGAGTCACCATAGCTCCAGGTGAATTTCAATCAATCATGGATTCAATGATATCTGGACTAGAAAACGTTTTTGCTTATATTGATGATATTGTTGTGGGTGGAGCTACAGTTCAAGAGCATAATCAAAACTTAACTTATTTATTAGAGCGAATAAAGGATTATGGTCTACATCTGCAAATAGAGAAATGTTGTTTCTTTACTACACAGATCAATTATCTGGGTTATGTCATCGATGGACAAGGATTACATCCAGATCCTACAAAAGTCGAAGCAATTAAAAACATGCCTGAACCACATAATTTAACTACATTACGTTCGTTTTTAGGAGCAATCAATTATTATGCACGTTTCATTTCAAATATGCACATTCTTAGACGTCCTTTGGATAATCTTTTAAAAAAGGATTCTAAATGGAACTGGTCTCCAAAATGTCAAGAATCTTTTAATCAATTTAAGAGAATTCTTTCTTCAAAGCTCTTATTAACTCACTACAATCCTCAGCATGAGATTATTGTAGCAGCAGATGCTTCAAATGAAGGATTAGGAGCATGCATTCTTCATAGATTTCCAGATCATTCGATCAAGGCAATCAGTCACGCCTCAAGGAGTCTCACAGAAGCAGAACGTAAATACAGTCAAATTGAAAAAGAGGCATTAGCAATCATTTTCGCAGTCACGAAATTTCATAGAATGATTTTCGGAAGACAATTCATCCTTCAAACGGATCACAAACCATTACTTCAAATATTTGGTAACAAAAAAGGAATTCCGTCGCATACAGCCAACCGTCTTCAACGATGGGCACTTCAATTATTATCTTACGATTTTAAAATCGAATACATCAAGACGACAGAATTTGGACATGCGGATGTTTTATCAAGACTAATCAGTCATCAACAACGTCCTGAAGAGGATTTTGTAATCGCTTCTGTCAAAATGGAAACAGATTTATTCTCAGTCCTCAATGAATCACTTCAGTCCTTTCCAATCACATTTCAACAAATCAAGGAAGCAACTAAAGAAGATGACATCTTACAAAAAGTTATCAACTTTACTTTGAATTCATGGCCTCAGAATGTAGATGATTCGGATTTACAACCATTTTTCCGCCGTCGAAACTCACTAACCGTGATTCAAGAATGTCTTCTTTTCAACGACAGAGTTGTAATTCCTCAACAATTCCATCAACAAATTCTCAAACAATTGCATAAGGGTCATCCTGGAATGGAGCGAATGAAAATCATAGCACGTTCATACGTATATTGGCCAAGGATAGATCAGCAAATAGAAGAATTTGTCAGAAATTGCAGAAATTGCACACTCGCCGCGAAATCACCTATCAAGGTACCATTATCAAGCTGGTCTCTTCCTGAAAAACCATGGCAAAGAGTTCACATAGATTTCGCAGGACCGTTAAATGGAGAATATTATTTTGTTTTGGTCGATGCCTTTTCAAAATGGCCTGAAATAGTTCCAACGCAAACAATCACAGCTCAGCGAACTATTGATATTCTTCAAGAAATTTTTGCAAGATTTGGTGTCCCTGAAAGTCTAGTTTCAGATAATGGAACTCAGTTCACTTCAGAAAAGTTTCAAAACTTTTGTCTTTTGCAGGGAATCAATCATCTGCATACTCCACCGTTTCATCCAAGTTCTAACGGACAAGCAGAACGTTTCGTAGATACATTTAAACTGGCACTTTCAAAATGCGAGACAGAGGGGAAAGAAGTCAAGGAACATCTCTGCACTTTCTTATAGTATTACAGGTCAACTCCAAATCCTAATGTTCCAAATCAAGTTTCTCCCGCGGAAGCCTTGCTTGGAAGACCAATGCGAACAACGTTAGATCTGCTTAAGCCCTCGAAATGCTCAACTGCTCAACCTGAGAAACCGCTG